ATGGAAAGCGGCGAAGGATGGTATATTGATGATAAAGTGGTAAAGGCAACAGGATGTAGTGCAAGGATGATAGGACCAAGAATGACGGGCCATGGTCCAAGCAACTGTGGAAGTGTGTCACATGAGGTGGTGAAGAGGGAAAAGATGAGGCCTCTCTTCCCTCTCTTGCACTTCTCTCACCAAGAATAACCTGCCTGTGTGCTGCAAGGGATCATCGATCCGTCGGATTAAAAGGCAAAACGACAACGGACAACACAAGGAGTGCAGGTAATACACCGACTGGCTGATGGAATCGCCATCCAGTGAGGACTCAATAGCATCTAAATAGTCTCATCGGGGAACCATATTGGTCTCACTCTCACTGACAACTCTCCTACTCATCTCTCATCTCTCATCTCATTCCTTCTCTCATTCACACATCCGCTCCATGGGTTCATCTCTCAACATCAAAAAAACTCATTCAGCTCTCTCTGTTTGCGACAGGAGGCAAATTGTTTATTTGTATGCCTGTGTGTGCGTGTGTGCGACATGCAATTTGATTGAGTCTTTCACCCCCTTCTTCTGCAATTGCATACATGTTATGTACATGTCCATGCACCAGCAACAACACGTAAACAAAAAAAATAACTCTCCTTTCTGTTTGTGTAGAGTGAACGAGGACAATGGGGCACCCGTTTCTGATAATGCATTTCATGCACTCTTCGGAGCAAGGAGTGAAGGCGCTAAAAAAAATCGAGAGATTTGAATTCCCCCATCCTCCAACTACCCCCTCTTCAGCAGGCGATGTGGGGTCCTGCGAAGAAAAAGAAGGAAGAGGACTTTGCGAGATAGGGGTTCAGTACAAACATGCGAAGTCACCATCATCGGTTGACGTCGAAAAGCAACTTTTCTTCTGATCCGCACAGAGAGAGAAATACTCCTCCTTCTTTCACTAAGAGGCATTTTTTTTCTCATGTTCACCCTCGTACACGCCTTTCCGACAACTACAGACAGACAGATGTTCGACTGCCTAGTGCAAAAAAGTCACCAATGTGGTTGCCAAGGGGATGGGCGAAAACAAGATAATAACAACTGACAAATAGAGAGCCGTTGGATACTGCTTTTATTTTCTGCCTTTCTTCTTCTTTGACCCTTCACTCCTTGGCTTTGTTCAGGACATTACAATAGCAAAAGGCAAAGGGATGATCGAACAACTGGTCACCCAAATTTTCAATGGCCATTGCGGTTGTCTCTCGTCTCTCGCTCCTCTACTGGTTATTTTTATCTAAACAATAAAGGAACCAGAAAAAAAGAAGGAAAAAAAAAGCCGATCGCAGAAGACAAGAGCAAGCTCCTTTACTGGCTTCCCCGGTCCGGCGAGAAACGGAGTCCCTTATTGCCGTCTTGCTGTTTAGCTCATAATTAAATTTTCTTCGTCATAAACTTTGTCCCTCCTCCCCTTCCCCTTTAATTTTGAGAGAGATGCTGACACACGATGCACCTCCTTGTTCATTGTTTTTTCTTACATGTTTTTGTTTTTGTTCATTCTCCCTTTCTCCCTCCCTCCATTTGTTTTTCTTTTTTCTCTCTCTGCTGCTCCTGGGCGTTGCGCAACGACCATGGATCATGGTTTCTTGTTGTTTATTTTGTCCATCGAGAGAGCGAGATGTATGACTATCGTTTTCTGTCTCACTCTGTCTGTCTGTCTTTTTTACTTTGCCCAATAGCCCGACGATGAACAATGTCAAAGGGCCAAATTTATCTTTTTTGGTGTCAAATGGCACAAGAGAGACATACTGTCATACATACCAAAAAGCAAGGCAGGCAAAGATCAAGAAAGAGAGAGAGAGAGAGCAAAAAAAAAGAAATGGTCAACCCAGAACCACTTTTTCTATTTCTCGCAAAGCCCTATGCCATTTACTTCAATTCTCCATCGCCTCCCTATGCGTGTGGTCCATCTACTTTTTTCCTCTTTGTGTGCACGCACACAAAAGAAACGGCCATTTTCGCCGGCCACCTTAATTGTTTTACCTTTCATGCACACACATAAACACAATGGCATCAGCCCAAGAAGGGAAAAAAATGGGCCTTGTATGCAATTGGGATATCCAAGAAAGGGGCGCGAGAAAAAGGGACGGGGCGATGACGATGATGCTGATGATGAGGGACGACGCTGTACCTTTACCCTATTGATCTGTCCGAAATCAAACAGATGGAGCAATTTCTATTCACTCTGTGCTAGACTGCGAAACGAGAGGGAAAAAGGCGAAAAGATCTCTACTCTTCTTCTCGAATGATCAATCATCCCTCTCTCATGTCTTGCTTCTTCCCTGGTCCCTGTCTCGCCCTGTTAGTACTTTCTGTCCATCACCATTCTCGCTTCTTTCCTTCCTCTTTGCTCCCCTAACCTCCCCTAAACTCGCGTTGCACATATCCTTTCCTGCGCCCTAGAAAATTTGCTAATGGGATCTAAACCAGCGCGTGTCGCGTCCATCTTTCTTATCTTTTTTGCATCCCTATTTCTCTCTCACGTCCAATGGCTCATCTTTGTGTGTATGATACAAGAAAATAATATATTTTTTTGGGATGAACTCTAGTGATAAAAGAAAAGGGATGGTGTGGGGTATGATTTGTTTCTAGCTATGACTGGGATGGAGACTATGTACAGACGAAGGGTGAAAAAGAAAGAAATAAGGATGCGAAAATAAATTGCTTCTACTATATTCTTCGTTTAGCCGATCAACTTGGCTCTGGCGCGGGCGGCCAAGAGCGTCTCGGTGTCAGAGGTAGGAGGGTGGACCCCATCGTCGCGTGTGGCCTTGACGGTATAGTGTCTCAGCAGTGCATCCCGTCTCACAAAGGGGCGCATGCAGAACTCGCAGGGCCAGGTCGTCTCCTGGTGCTTCGAGACCTGGTGTCTCTTCAGATCGTGGATCCGCCCAAAGGACTCGGAGGGGCAGAGCTCGCAGCGGAAGGTGATAGAGTCGGTCGAGGGGTTGAAGACCATGATCGAACCATCCTCGTTCTTGATCACCGTGGTGCCGTCAGTGTTTCTTTGGGGCATCCGAGTCGTTGCTGTTGCTGGTGAGGCTGGGTGAGGGATGATGGGAGTTAGAGGCGAGGTAGGTGCGCTGAAGGGTGTTGAAGGTGCAGGTTTTAGCGAAGGCGAGGCTGCATAGTATGAAGAGCAAGGGGAGCAAGGCGTGCTCGAGCTGTGGTCGTGATAGTGCTGCTGCTGTTGTTGGTACTGCTGCATCTGGACGTATTGCTGCTGTGCTTCGGCGGACTGCATGTTGGCGAACTGAATGGCCTCGGACATCATAGTTTGCTGCTGTTGCTGTTGGTGAGGAGCAAAGAGCGACATATCGGGAGCAAAGGAGAGGGGTGTCCCGAGCAGCAAGTCGTCGATCGTGATGTTGAAGAGATCGACCAGTTCATCGGCTTCCTCAGAGTCCATGTTCTTCAGACCAGTGGCGGGGCTGGAATGGGATGAGTTGGAGGACGAGGAGGAGAAGCAAGAGGAAGCGGGCGAATGAGGCGACATGATCGTCTCGTTCCAGGGCGAGGCAGGCAGCTGCTGGTTCTGGACGGTAATGAGGGCCTGGATGAACTGCTGTGACTCTTGGTACTGGTGCTGCTGTTGTTGCTGGAGGTGGAGGAATTCCTGCTGCTGCTGGGGATCCTCGCTGTCGTAGAGTGTTGTGTACATCTTGCTGATCTCGTCCGAAGACATTTGGCTTCCGAAGGTGTGTGTGTTTGACATTGTTGTATGTGTGTATGTGTGTATGAGAGCGCGTTTGATTTGTGTGTGTGTGTGTGTGTGTGTGTGAGACGCGTTGTTGTTGATAATTTTTTCATTTGAGGTGGGAATGCGACCCTTTTATATCTTTTGGCGGTGTCAATCGACACCTTCGACGTTGTCCAAAAAAGGCATTCGTCAAGTGAAATATCATATGTTGGCTGAAGGGAAATGTCAATTGACAGTCGACGCTAGTACTCTGGAGGGCGGTGCTCTCATTTGGCGCTTTCAAAATTTAGTTATCTACTCCGCCCGTATTCCAGTTTCGCCCTTGTTGTCCATCGAGCATGCGTCAATTTGGTTCCGACTTGGGCTCTCGTGTCGATCGGTTGTTTGGCCACGACGCCATTCACAGACATGCTATGCAGACACAGGCTGAGCAGAGCCCTCTTACGGGTAAAATGAACAAGGGGGATGTTGGATTGACACCCATGGATCCGGATACTCTACACGTGATCAATTGATGTCGTTTGGGTGCTCACTTGCACCTTTTTTTGGGGATGGAGGGAGAGGGACACATGCATCTCTTTACCTTCTGAATGTACTTCTTGCCTTCATTCAACCCTGTCGACGTGGAGGGTGACCAATTGGTGGAAGTCCCTCTTACCATCAACGGTCAACGAGAGGGGCGTCGTTCCTGACAAGGATTTTGAGTCAGACACCAATTGACACACAAAAAAAAATGAACAAACAAACCGGAGGCACAACCCCGTCTAAATTATTTTTTTTCCCTTGCTGCTATGCGATGCAACAAAACAATACTAGAACAAAACACGCAAGCATGGTGGGGGCACGGCCATGGCACAGTCAAACGATTGAAATGCATAATCTAAACGACACAGGGCATACCACGCGTAGCCTTGACAGAGAACATCCCGTTCATGTCAGCTGAATCCAGTCGTCAATATCACGTCTGTCAAGATTGTCCGTATCTGTTTGTGTGTATGCCAATTGTTTTTGTGTGAGATGGATACGAGACGGAGTGAATAAAAGAGACACATTCAGGAAACAACTCCATATTGGAATCAAAAGTAGAGGCAGCTGAAAGAGGACGGGCGAGAACAAAGAAAGTGAAAAAGAGAGAGGGGGGGGGGGAGGAGAGAGAGAAGGATGAAATAGAGAAGGCGAATGACTTCTGGTGTGCATTCAAAAATGAAGCGTCCTTTTACACCAAGAAGGGTTAGTAGCACAAGAAAAAAAAAGAAACGAAAAGAAGCAAAAAGGAAGAGGGAGGGATTTGAACCCACGACTGTTCTTGGAACAGACCGCAGTTTGATGACTCTTGTCAGAATCAACAGAATATGCTTTGGATGCGGCGCCTTGGACCACTCGGCCACCTCTTCTTTCCTGTTGTTTGTTGGTTTTGTTGTTTCTATTTGTAGCCATTTGTTTGCCACCAAAAAAAGAAAAAAAGTGCTGTGCTACAACTTCAACCCTTTGATCGGCATCTTGGCCAAGGGTGGATACCCGGGAAGGCTCTGTTGTGGTGGAATGGGTCCGCGGACACAATCAG